TTATACTATATTTATACGAATTATTTAAAAAATTTGACAAAAGAGTAACATTTATTTTTGAAATATTTTTAACAACAGATTTCAACTCTTTTCTTGACTATATTGTGCAAATGGTCTTATATTAAACTTTCATAGTTAAAAAAGAAATCAAAATTAAGGGCTCAAACTCCTAGTGTTTATGTGAGGCATTGTCATTTGTTTATCTAAAATTAGATCGGGATAATTTGCTGGCTTTCCCGAAGGAAATGCTTTAAAAATAAATCCTCCATCGTCGGTTTGGAACAAACTTTAGATAGACTGGAACTCGTTTTAGCACTTCACTTTTGAATCTATATTTAAAACTACTTTGGCGAGAATCTCGGAAATAAAACTAAGATAAAAATGCCCCCAACTTAAAACTAATTAAATGTAGTTCAGCCCATATGTCCCGAGAACCTTTTAAATGTAAAATTTCAAAAGACTTACCAGTTCATTAAGAGGCGCTGTTTACTATTTATAACTCACTTTATGCTTCTCATATATTTCCATGCTGTCTGTGTTCCAATTAAAACAATTTCTGATGCGTTTTCGCATAAATGTGGCGAGATAAATAATTATTCATATAAAGTGACTTAATCATTAATTGTAATATATATTTCTGTAAAACGCGGAAATTCTAGAAATACTAAAATTTGATTATTTTTGTTATTTTTAACAGTTTTGGATATATTTAATTTTTCCAAAAATTTTGACAGATGGATGGTCTTACTAATATGTCTATATTACCACTAATTGTTATGTTACAAAGTTAATTTATGGTGTACTCTATAGAAAACCAGTAATAGTATTTGAAAACTTATTTTTTTATTTGTTATACGCTAAAGAAGTATCGCTAGTAGCGCCACCACTCGGCAGTTATCATCGTAACAAAAGTACAACTTTTAATAATCAGCTGTCAAACGCTTATGTTACAAACGTGTGTTTTTGAGAATAAAGCCGGAAAATGTTAAAAAAAAAATATCGAAAAAAAACCGTGGCACGATTTGTTGTGTTGTTGGGTGTATTTCGAGAGGAAATCCTGGGTTGATTTTTACCGGTTTTCCAATAAACAGTGTTAATCTGAATGAAGAAATAAATTGCATACAGTCTCTGTAAATATAAATTGTACCTATAGATACAATAAATACACATTTTAGTAGTGATTAACGTGAAAAGTATAAACATTTCAATTCAGTAAAAATCGTCAAACAAATAAGTCGTCTAAATTTAAACAGCATTTAGTATTATTAAAAGCGTTGATTAAGAAAGTCTCCGCTCAACGGTAAAATACCATTATATTATGTATTATATATAATATTATGTTGCCATGAATTCGTAGGTATATTTTGTTGTTTAAAATGCAGTTGTCGGCGTTTTTTAGAGAACTCAAATATAAAAATGGTTGATTTTAAGGTTATGTTTGTGCAACAATTATTTTTTACTAATTCCTTAAAAATTTCCAAACTTAAATATAAATTATATTAGGTAAAGTTATCATTAGTTAATTCTGCACCAACAAATGTACAAATGTATGCTCCACACCTCAATGTCCCACCACGTGACCACGTACGGAACGCAGTCTTTTGAAAATTTGGCATTTAAGGCTTTTCAGGTTATGTATCTGTCAAAGTATATTACTTGACTATAGTCAATGAAAGAAATAATATTTATAGTGTTACCGCTTATGTTTAAGCGTTAAAAGTTAATAAATCTTTATACACAGAGAAAAAAGATGTTTTAATTCAAACAAGAATGTTTGTTTAATTTTATTTATTACATTTAAAAAAATATAAATTTAATTCAAAAACATTTCTTTAAAAAGAATAATTGTCTTTATTTAAAAGGAAAAAGCAAATTTATTAAAATATATATTTAAAACAAAGTACCTGACTTTTATTTTAAAATTGCACTTATTCTGTTTAAATAAAAGTTGACTTTCTTAAATTATAAAAACTATTTACTTGTTTTAAAAAATTAAAAAGTTTAAATTAAACAACAAATATTGTTTTTTTAATAACATGGTTTAATTTTAAAATATAATTTTGATTTAATTAAAAAAAATTAATTATTTAAAATAAACAAATTATTATTTAAATACAAAAAAATTGTAATTTGATTTAAAGCAGAGGTTTATTTAAACTTTTTTGCTCACGTCGAAGTAGCATGACTTGCATCCTATTGGTTGCTGTAAATCAGGCGACTGCAGATACCCAATGGGCTTTCCATTTTGTATGTACGTGATTTTAGAGACTCCAATTTAGAGCAGGGTGTTGATGAGAAGTGGTGTGGCATTATAATAAAATAATACATAATTTTATATTATTTTATACTATGGAGGACCTTTTAAAGGAATGGGGTCTTGAGAAATTTATTCCTGTTTTTAAAGGTAAGTAATTTAAATAATTACTTGGAATTTATCATTATTATTTGCGGACCCTGGTGGATTTATGCAGCACACATTATCATTAAGTTAAAATTAACATAAGTATTTTTTAAGTTAGTGAAGTATTTGTATATTTTAGGGTTTCCTATATGTATTTATAAGACTTTTTTTCAATAAAGATTAGTGTTTATTCATAAAAAATTGAATTTATTTTTAATCCCCAATATACCAATATTAATATTAATATTAATTACTAGATTAGATGAAAAAAAAAACATTATTATTTAAAAAAATATATCTTTTAATCTGAATAAATAATTTTTATTCATTCAAATATAATAATTATTTAATTTAAATAAATAAATCTAAATTAAATAAATGAATTCCTCTTAAATTTAAATTAAAATTTATTAATTTAAAAAAAATATCTCTTAATCCAAATAAATTATTTATAAATTGTTTTTAACACAAATATTATAGGTATTTAAGTTAAATAAATTAATTTTAAATGAAATAAATTATCTGTTTTACGTAAATAAAAACATTTTTTTAATTTAAAAAAATACATGTTTGTTACTTGGTTTTATTTAATACAAACTAATAATATTTGTTTGCGTTAAATAAATTAATTTTAAATTAAATAAATTAAAACAAATAAATATTTTTTTACATTCAAAAGAACATTTATTTGGGTATATCGAAATAAATAATTTATTTGATATAAATAAAATTTATTTAATTCAAATAATCTTTTTTCTCTGTGTAGTATTACAACAACAATGATTGGTTTAAGAATTTAAGAATATAAATACTGCATTTAATGAAATTCCAAAGTGTAAGGTGCAATATAAGTGATATTTTTGTGCATTGGGTCTACATTTCTCCATAAAATAGTTATAACTAAACACCATTTATTAAAAAAAATCTAACTTCTCTATTATGAAATAAGAATATCTGTATCAAAGGTTAATGTATTAGAACAAAAAATATCATCTAATTTTGTATTTTAAGGCTAAAAAAATCTATTTTGGCCAAAATAAATAAGTGTATTATTTGGAAGAGTGTGTCATAAATAAATATAGGTATACTAAATAATGGTAGAATATGGTTCAAATTAAATTGAAGCTTTCATACTTCTTATGACAAAACTTGTGCATACCTCTCGGCATACCTACTTTAAGTTAGATTATAAGAAAACAAACAATTTTTAGAGAAACTTGCAATTTAAAAATATGACATGTGATTTATTAAAATTTTTAAAGTTATAATGGTTTTTAATGTAGATCAAGTTCAGTCGAAGCTTTTTAACTATTTGTATTGACAAAACTTTATGTAGGTACACTTTAAGCTGGATAAGAAAAACTACCACATTTTTAAATACCATATTATGCAGTCTTTTAAATAATCCAAAATACTTATTTATTATGGTAAAAAAAAATTTCTAACCTTAAAATTACAAAATTAGATGATATTTTTGTTATAATATATTAACATACCTTTAATACAGATATTCTTATTTCATAATAGAGAAGCTATATGTTTTTAAATAAATGCTGTTTAGTTAAAATTATTTTATGGAGAAAACCAGATATTTGGACCAAATGCACAAAAATAATACTTATTTGGCACCATACACTTTAGAATTGCATTAAATGCAGTATTTATATTCTAAAATTCTTAAACCATCCATTGTTATTCTAATGTTATAAAGATTTATACTTTTTTAACGCCTAAACATAATATTATTTCTTTCGTTAACTATACTTTGACAGATACATAACCTGAAAAGCCTTAAATGCCAAATTTTCAAAAGACTGCGTTCCGTACGTGGTCACGTGGTGGGACTTTGAGGTGTGGAGCATAGTACTTACCGAATTGGATCCTTTGGCAAAACATGAAAATGCAACGATTTAGTTCTTGAATTTTATTTACAATTAAAAACACAATAATGATCCCTTAGATAAAATACACACACAGTTACGTTACTATATAAGCATTTATGCGTTGAGTTTCTTAATCAATGATATAAGGAATAATCAATCGAAATCGAGTACTAAAAAGTATTCTAGTAATGTAAAGAATGTATTGGGATTGGCGATCGTTTTTATTCTTATCTCACTTATCTATCCTTTGCGTTACATACCCTGTATATTTCAAACTATAATTTTACTCACCAAAAAAAAATAATTTGTCTTAGAGCCCACCAGGTGTTCACTTCCTACCAGAATTTTTCCGTAAATCTATTTTTTCCTGACGTTGCTGTATGCAGCTCTGCTAAGTGGTATTTAATTCAGTTCCAAATGAAGCGTAAAGTTGATAAGGGGCTGAGGAATTTTTTATGACCCCGACGACATATGGCTCATGTAACACGAATTTACCATTACATTACATCACATTACCTAAATTATTTTAAGTCGCGAACGCTTTGCATTAAAACTTTGGTATTTTGCAGAAAAGTTTGTAAATGGAGATAAATGTTGTGACGTAAACTACATGTGAGTGCTTAAGTTCAGTGAATTAACTCGGTGTTAACCTGTGGCGATGAGGATTAGAAGCTTCTGGAAGCCATTTGCTAAAATGGATTTGCGGATAGTGTAAAATGTTTCCGGGTTGTATACGGGGCCCCAAAGCAACGCAGGGCTCCAATGATGACATCACCAAGCAGGCTTTTGTCCAGGTTAGTTAGCCACTTTAATGACTTCATATAGAAAACCTTTTGTGTCTCCGCAAGATAACGCAACGTCCGTCACTACCCTTCAAGTTATTATGTTTCAGTTAAAGGATAACAATAGTACTATAAGTTTTCCTTATTACTTTATTAAGTTGACTTCACTTTATAATTTTGAAAATTGCTATTTGCGTGTTATATCTGTATTAAATTTAATTCTGAAAACAAACAGTTAAATGGCCAGTCCAATTACTGGTTGGTAAAAATTGTAAATTTCTATTTTTGGACAAAAGTCCAATATCATACTCTATTTGTATCCCGGACATTTACCAGCCAATTCTTATGTAAAATTGTCCCCTGAATCCGAAAAGATCGTCAAAAACTATAAAAGTTAAGCAGTTTTTGAGATATAGTCAATTCCATATAATATGTAAAATTGATTATATTTCAAAAACTGTTCTACTTTTATAACTTTTGACGACATTTTCGGATTCAGCGAATAATATTTCATAGGAATTGACTGCTAAATGTTCTGGATGCAAATTGCCGTTGACAAGAATTATTAGTGGCTGCTTTTTTGCTATGACATTTTTGACTAATTCAGTTTTAAAGAATAAGTAATATAGTGATTTCTTCGTCACAGGACATCCTGCAGAATAACAGTGCATGATAAAGAACATAAAAAACTAATCGCAATAAAATTAATAAATTCGGACCACCCGAAAAAATATAAGATATTTATAAATACTCGTGTTCCGGCCTAAACATTATAAACGCTTCACAAACTAGATATACCACACTTAATGATATTTCCAACAAACTATTTCAGAAGTCAGACCAAGGAATTAGTAGTTACCTTCAGAATCCAGAAAAGGGATGAGGAATACGAGAAAGAAATTATGAATTATATGATATTTACAAAAATGAAATAAAAAAATTACCTAAAACAGCAATTTATCTTTAAAAATTATTTAACAATTTATGTTATTTGATGTAATGTTTATATAAAAAGTGTATGTCCAAGAACTATAGTCCATGTGTCCAAGTAATATATAAAATGTCCAATTACTATACTTTTTTGCATGTTTTTATAAAACTAATATTAAAATTCAAATATTCTTATTTTTAAGTAAACGTAAATAAAGTTTAAACAAACAAACTATCCATTTTATATATTTATAAGAAAAAAACTAAAATCTTTAAAACAAGGGCATACAGTGTGACCCATTTGTTTGCGACTCACCCCTGTAAAATCTTTATTTATTGTGCGATTTTAATTTTAAATAAATAATATTCCTTAAGTGTCCAATAATTATTGGTTATAACCATGTAGTTTACCTAAACATTTTTCAATTATCAAATTAACAAGTTTTCACTATTAAAATTCATTTGTTATTTACATGTATACGCAAATAACAAATGAAGATCGTAACCAAGGTAACCGTTCTTTTTTAAAATTACAAAATTACCAAAAAAACAATAAATACATATAGATTTTTAAATTTATATTTAATTATTTGATAGTTTTCTCTATTTTAGTGTAGCATTTTAATGTTTTTATAATTTATTAACCCCGTATATCTCATCTCAAATTTTTATATTATCCAAAGTCCAAAGATTATAGTCTAAAAACGCAGAATTAAGAATGTTGATACAAAAATACAATTTGGTAAAAATTAATCTAACATTTTGTTTTTGCTGTTCAACCATAATTTTAAGTGATAGATTCTAACATTAGCATATTCCTGAATAACCGTCAAGGGAAATTAGTCTTAAACTTAAAGCAATTTGGTTACAAAATCCAACGACAGAACAGTAATTTATTAGGGCTTAAGTATAAGTATAATACACATTTAACTTCAAATTTTGAAGTTGTTGTATAACCTCAGTAACGTACGAGGTGTGTTCAGAAAATATCGGGAATTTTCGTTTTTTAAAACAAATATTCATTTATTCGTCTACATTAATGTTGTCGCCTTCAAAATAGTCCCCATTGGATTTTATGCACATGTGCCAGCTCTTCTTCCAATACTCGAAACACTTCTAAAACTCGATCTTTGGGATAGCCTGTAGTTCTTTCAGCGATGCGCTTTTAATGTCAACTATGCTTGCAAAACGACGGCCCTTTAAGGTTCTCTTTATTTTTGGGAATAGGAAAAAGTCAGACAGAGGCATGTATGACGAATATGGAGGCTGGGGCATCATTACAGTATTGCTTTTGGCCAAAAATCTTGTTCAAAATTTAACAATTTTATAACAAATTTAGCTGCCACGCGTTTCATACCCAAAACATTCGAAAAAATTTCATTGGATGAGCCAATCGATATACCAACAGCATTAGCGACTTCTCTGATGGTTTATAACCATTTCTTTCACTTTTTCCATGTTTTTATCGGTTGTTAATGTGCTTGTGCGTTCGGGGCGTTCGTCATTTTCAACGTCTTCACGGCCATCTTGGAAACTCTTATACCACTGTAAACTCTTGTTTTACTTATAGCAGACTCACATAGGCCTTTGTTAACATTTCACAGAATTTATTTAATTTTTTAAGCAAAATTGGATACAAATTCTTTGATCCATTTCTTTTAACGAACGAAAAATCCTCGAGCTCATAAAACACGTCTAACCTTAGCGGCTGCCACAGACAAAGTAAACAATACGAAATTTAACAATTTCCGTTATTTTCTGAACACACCTCGTACAGATGTTAAATCGTTTTTTTGCATTTTTTTAGAGCAAAATATACGTTTTTGGATACTGTGGTCACCAGTGGCGTTTATACAAAACAAACAAAAAGTTAAAAAACAACAAATTTATTTTTAGAGAATACTTTAAATTTACACATTTTTTATTACACCGGTTGTCTATTTAAATGGTCAAAATTATTTTGAAATGTTACCCTTTACCTCCCATTTCTTAAGTTTTTTTTAAATTACTAAGACGACGTATTCAGCAGTAAATAAATAAAATAGCGAGCATAATAATTATTGTTGACCAAACTTTTCCGAATAAACAAATAAAGCTAATAAAATCGATTTCCTGGAAAGTCGATATTTTCGCTAGACGCGAGCAAAGTTTATGGGCACTTAAATAAATATAAATGAAGAAATGCACAACATAAACTCGCTAACTCTGTTTAGACTTCTTTATTGTTGATGTGTGACTCGATTGACCTATATAATATACATATGTAGTATGTTGTATTGATTTAAAGAATTATGTCAACAAGATATTTTTAGGCTTTAGGTAAACCACGTAGTTATTGGACATAAAATTTATATATGCCGTTTTAGTTTTTTTCCTATAAATATACAGGGTGTTATGTAATTAATGTTATATATTAAAATACTGAATACCTTTTGACATAAGAAATAAAGGAAAAATATTTAAAAAAAACATTTGTCCAAAGATAAAGAAAAAATATGCATTAGAAGTTTTTTATATTTTTTGTGATACGCCACTGGTTACACACTTGTTTATCTCTGCACACCTGTATTTTGTGAGTACATAGATACCAACCAACAAAGTAGATGTAAAAAATTGTTACTAAAAATTTTTCTTGCAAAAAAATAAATAAAAACTCAATAAATATAAAAGTTTTATGCCCTTAAAGCTCTAATACCCTTCTGTATTTATTTACTGATCCAGCTATTAGCTTAAGCAATGATTAGAAAATTTAGTACCTTTGAAATTTGAAATCCATAACCACAAAATTATTTTTTTCATCAGTTTTTTTCTCTGTTTACTCAGATGAAATTGGGACCAGTTCACAGATTAAACTTTAAACATTTAATTTGTGTAAATAAATCCAAAAGCACTTCCATTAGTTAAGATATTTACAATTTGAAAACATAACCTAAAATTTAAAAGAAATGCACTAGATTCTGTCATAAAAGTTGTCAGATTTGGTTTGAATTTACCTTCAGTACAAAAATGAAATAACCAACAATTAATAAAAACGCCAAATTGACAATTTGCATTGTTAATTTTGTCATTTTTGTAATTAAGCTAAATTTAAACAATGCTTGGCAACTTTATTGAAAGATTTTGGAAAAACTGTTGTTACCAACCATAACATAATAAAACCACCAGATTAACCTAGACTTTGGAACTTGGAAAAAAAAAGTTTCAGGTGCTTCTTTATGGACCCTAAGGAACAACCCATTTTAATATATAACATAAATTACATAACACCCTGTATAAAAAGGATAGTTTGTTTGTTTAAACTTTATTTACGTTTCCTTAAAAATAAGAATATTTGAATTTTGCAAAAAAGTATAGTAATTGGACATTTTATATAGTAATTGGACACATGGACCAAAGTTATTGGACATACAATTATTATATGAACATAACAACTTTACATCAAATAACATAAATTGTAAAATATTTTTTAAAAATAAATTGCTGTTTTAGGTAATTTTTTTATTTCGTTTTTGTAAATATCATATAATTCATACATTTCTTTCTCGGATTCCTCATCCCTTTTCTGGATTCTGAAGGTAACTACTAATTCCTTGGTCTGACTTCTGAAATAGTTTGTTGCAAATATCATTAAGTGTGGTATCTAGTTTGTGAAGCATTTGTAATGTTTAGGCCGAAAAAGGATGATTTATAGATATCTAATATTTTCCGGGTGGTCCGAATTTATTAATTTTGTTGAAGAAATCGCTATATTACTTACTCTCTAAAACTAAATTAGTCAAAAATGTCATGGCGAAAAAGCAGCCACTAATAATTCTCGTCAACGGCAATTTGTATCCAGGACATTTAGCAGTCAATTCCTATGAAATATTATTCGCTGAATCCGAAAATGTCGACAAAAGTTATAAAAGTGGAACAGTTTTTGAAATATAATCAATTTTACATATAATATGGAATTGACTATATCTCAAAAACTGCTTAACTTTTATAGTTTTTGACGGTCTTTTCGGATTCAGGGGACAATTTTACATAAGAATAGGCTGGGAAATGTCCGGTATACATATAGAGTATGATATTGGACATAT